CCCCAAAACCCCAAAACCCCAAAACCCCAAAACCCCTTCTGAAAACATATCTCTTGAAATTACTGATAAATTCTATTTTGATTTTGATAATTTCTGATTGCCACAAAGGTCACCTCCAATTAGACATTACCTCCTATAGTTTCGACAAGGTGGTATTTCAAATTAGAAATTGTCAAGCCATATCTTAGTGGCTAATTTGATAGATCTTTGAGCATTTTTATAAGATTTTGGTAACCTTCAGATTGCTATATAAAGAAAATGTTAGTGATGATTAATAATTAATTAATTAATAAAATGGCTGGAAAAAGAAAAACAAGAGCTAAAGTAGCGCCTACTGCTTGCACAAACAAGGCATCTGATGCAACCCCAAAAGCCACCCAGGGAAAACCAAAGAAGAGAGATACAAAGGCTGAAGATAAGAATAATGAAGAATCTAAGGACCAGATAAAGGAGATATCTGCTGCTATGTCTAATGGAGTCATGGTCGACCATAAAGTGCCAGATCCTGGCTCATTTGAAGTGGTTAGTGTTGGGGGTAAAGTTCTAAATACTCATTTAATGCTTGCTGATTGTATCAGAAACAATAACAAGTTCTACATCATTCAAGGTCTCAAGAAAGGATCTTCTTTCATGCTCTGGACTCGATGGGGAAGGGTCGGAGTTGATGGACAGACTGGCAAAACTATGGTTTCTAATGAAAATGCCTTGCTAGCTCAATTCAACAAAAAGATGAAAGCCAAGACCAATAAAGGTTATAATGAAATTGAGATCAGCTATGAAGAAGTTGAAGAGACTACTAAAAAGATAGAAGCTCTTGAAGAAAAGAAAAAGGGAGAAGATACTGAACCTCAAAAGAAGAAAGAATCTGTGCTTCCTTCTTCAGTACAGGATTTACTAAGGTTTATTTTTGATATGAAAATGATTGAGAAAAGTGTAGTAAAGGTTGGATTTAATGTCAAAAAATTACCTCTTGGTAAACTCTCCAAAGCAACTATTACTAAAGGGTATGAAGTTCTACGAAAAATAGACCAGGAGATGAAGAACTTAGGTAGCCAGGCAACTCTTGGAACCCTAAGCTCTGAGTTTTACTCTATCATCCCTCACGATTTTGGGTTTGCTAAATTGTCTCAGTTTGTTATCAATACTAAGGAAAAACTGAAAGACAAATTAGAGCTTGTTGAAGCACTTGGAGATATTCAAATCGCTGCTGAAATCATGAACGACGCCAACAAAGATAATAGTGACAAGAATGAGCTCGATGCTAAGTACGATATGATGAAGTGCAAAATAGTTCCTCTGGACAAAGACCATCAAGATTATGATAACTTGGTAAGTTACTGAAATATGAATTTGGCAAAATATTATTTTAGGTAAAAACTATAACATCGACTCATGGGTCAACGCATTATTTCAATGTCAAGCCACTTGAGATATTTAAGATAGAAAGAGAGGGCGAAGAAGAGAGGTTCAATCAAGCATTAAGCAATAAGAAACTATTATGGCATGGATCAAGGTTCTCTAACTGGGGTGGCATACTCTCGCAAGGGTTAAGAATTGCACCACCAGAAGCTCCTGCCACAGGATATATGTTTGGAAAAGGAGTTTATTTCGCCGATATTGTAACTAAATCTGCTGGGTACTGCTGCTCTCATATCTCTAATAGTGAAGGCTTATTAGCTCTGTGAGAAGTTGCTCTTGGTGACACTAGAGACCTCAAAAATGCTGACTACAATGCTAATAGACTTCCTGCAGGTAAAGGATCTACAAAAGGAGTTGGAAGATGGGTTCCAGAAAATGAAGTAGACATCGATGGAGTTCCAGCTTATGTTGGTCCTATCAAAGATCTTGGCAGTAACTACTACCTAAGATACAACGAATTCATCACTTATGATGTCTCCAATGTTAAAATCAAGTATCTGTTTAGATGCAAGATTGGTTAGTTATGTAACAGACACATTTTAATATTCAACCTTGTTTTAGTTAAAAGGGGTTTTGGGGTTTTGGGGTTTTGGGGTTTTGGGGTTTTGGGGTTTTGGGTGTTGGGG